TGTGCCGCTGGTCCAGGGTCCCCAGCCTGGTTCAGAATAAGTAAGTGACCGCAATACACACAAAGGACATGACAAGAGGTTTTCTAGAAGAGGTACAATGAATTCGATTTTAATGAAAACGATAAACAGAATTGAGGTGACAAAGAAGGAAGTTTCTTAATATATCCCTTAACATTACTTTGATCACAGTGGGCCCCTTGCTGCCAAGGGTTCTATATATAGTAAATGTTAGACTGACTTTTAAGGTGAACCTTTTCCTGTTTCAAGTGCATTGAGCTCTAGTAAAATTGTTTTGAGTGGAAAATCACTGGCATGGATATGTGAAGATAGGAATTAATGAGGCATCATCATCATCATCATCCTACTTTACCGATTTTTCTCAATCTAACTCATATCCCATGTTTTCCCTTCAGTGTTTTCTGTTTTTTTCCCCTTTTGTTTATTAGAAGCAAAATCCCAATTATTGAGATCCTAATTTCAGAAACTAAATTCCTGAAGTCTGATGATGGGCAAATACACTTCTTTGAGGCCGAGCAGAGATCATTTCTTTGGTTTTGCAAGGCATTTAGTGAGGCTACAGATGATTCTTTTTGTCTTTATCAAATGCTATTAATTTGATTGTATTGTATCTAGAAGAAAACCGATGTGTAAATTTGCCATTAATATAAAAAAATTATCTAATGTAATTATTCTAAGAGAAATGTTTTCTTCTGTGATTTTCTTTTTTCCTTTTGTGGTGTTGGGAATTGAACCCAGGGCCTAGGGTCCTGTGCATGCTGGATAAGCACTCTACCTCTGAGCTACATCCCTGGCCTACTTTTTTTTTTTTTGTTATTTGTTTTTTTTGTTAGAAGAGTGGATGTAGAACATCCTAGGGAATGGACTTGGTATGAATCTATTGACTATGTTCAGCAGAGCAGAGAAACCTCCTATTACATTGTGGTTGTTCAAAAGTCTTTCCCCCCCCCCCCCCATCTGCTCATCAGAAGAAAATAGATCTGTTTTAGCTTCTTGCTAAAGGTTTTTTGAATGCCTCACAAACATTCTGCTAATACACTGAAATTTTACCTAGTCTAGGAAAAATGAACTTTCAGACGGGTAAGTATGGATGGCTGACAGATAACTAGCATTGTATATAGTTTGCAGGATCCCCCAGTGTTCAAGATACGGGGCTCCAGGGATAACTTGGCTCACCTAGGGTGTGAACTGGGCCTCACATGCAGGGTTTAAGGGCTGCCATGAGTCCATTAAAGCCATTTATTCCTTACCTTCTGAGTGGCTTTAGAATCTCAAGTAAAATTGAGCAATATGTATGTCTTTGAATCATTCAAAGAATGTATTAGTGTTTGCTAATGGGAGTGATGGAAGTGAGACATTGGAGAGGCATGGCAGGCCAGGATATTCTTTTTTTTTTTTTCTTTTTGTTAGTCGTGGGGCTTGAACTCTAGGACTGGGCACTGTCCCTGAGCTCTTCAGCTCAAGGGGAGCGCTCTACCACTAACTTGAGCTATGGCGCCACTTCCAGTTTTCTGGTGATTAATTGTAGATAAGAGTCTCACGGACTTTCCTGCCCGTGCTGTCTTTGAACTGTGATCCTCAGATCTCAGCCTCCTGAGTAGCTAGGATTACTGACATGAGCCACCAAGCTAGGATTACAGACATGAGCCACCAGAGCCTGGCCTGCCCAGGCTTCTTAATGTGGAGCTCCGGTCTTAGCCTCTCAGTCACCCAGAGGCTGTATTAATTGAGACCAGAAGTCGCAACTCTGGGACATGCTCAGTGGAGCTTCTTCCTTTTCACTCCTAATGTTTCTCCTCCTACTACATTTTAATAAAAATATTCATGGCCTCATCAACGTGGGTAATAAGTAAGTTTAACTGGGACTTTTTTTTCCTCAAAGGTTAAGGATTCGCAGCAAACTATGCCTATGGTTTTAACGTAGACAAAGCATGTGCATGCTTTATTTGAGATAAAGCTGAAGATTCTTTTCCATTGCTGAACAAGTTTGTCACTTCTTTTTTTTTTTTTCCTCTTTGCCTTTGGAAAGTTTCACATTAACAGCATGAGAACTTAAAAATACAGTTGATGTTGAAAGAGCTTAACTAAATATTTTAAATTGGTGGTGTTGGAAAGAGATCCTGTAAAAATCCAATTAAACTTTTGAAAGCCCTATCCTGTTGAAATATAACTTGAAGGAAGTGAGTTTGGTTTCCCAGAAGTACTGTGCATAGTGTTTCTGGCTGAGGAAAAAAGGCTTCTACTCTGCTGTTTGGCTAGAAATTGGGTACCAGCTTCCTCTACAATGTTTTACTTGAACAGTGTTGACAAACTTGAACAAATCCCATAGAAACTGCCCCAAGTGGGGAATAGTTGTCTTGCTTTTATAGTAAGACTTGGCCCCAGAAACCAGGGCTCCAGACACTGGTTGTATTCTTGGCTAAATAACCCATAGATTATTATTGCAAGCAAAACCCCAAATGTTTTAGGAACTTTAATGGCTACCGTATTTCAACCAATCAGTAAAGTAAATTAAAAAATAGTGGTTCAGTTTATTACTTCCTAGCCAGTAAAAATAGTGAACAAAAAGAGTCTAGTGTCCCCTGTTTCTTAAATAAACTGCAATTCAGTTCTCTTGCTATTTTAGTTATTAAAGTCAAAAGACTTGGGGCTCTTTAGGAAGTTTTTTCCCCTTGCCTCAGACATCAGAAATAAGTCTTTTTTTTCCCCTACTAAATAAATGCAAAGTATTTAAGGAATATGTTTGTTTCATTGCGTAATGTCCACAAGAAACAAATATTTCTGTGTAGAATTTTTCTGTTTGGCTTACATTTGTGATCAGAATAGCTATGATCAGAACTAAAAATGTATTAAATATATCCGAAGTGAAGTTAAGCAAAATGAAAGTGGGTTGTCTCTTATGTTACTTAAAAGGTCAAGTGTATTAGTTTAACCTTCTTCACAATTTACTATGAGGAAGGACAAATCCAGAATTGAGATATCCATCCTATTTAGGGATAAAAGGTCTTGCTGTATAGCCTTATGTTTGCCTCAAACTCATGATCTATTGCTTCAGTCATCCAAGTGCTGGGATTATAGATTTGTACCACTACATGCAGCAGAGATGGCACATTTTAAAATGCAGTGACAGGAACCCAAAATGGAATTAAAAATAAATGTGCATTAGGTCAGCACCAGAAGAAAGGGAGAAGACAGGTAGCTGTGGGTGCAGAATCATCAGAAGTGAGATGAAATCTCCTGAGAAATAATTGGCACCAACTTCACACAGCCAATTCTAGCCCCTTTTCTTTTTTTTTTTATTGTGAAAATACTGTACAGAGGGGTTACAATTACATGAGCAAGATAATGAGTACATTTCTTATCAAGTATTGTAGCCTCCTTTGTTTCCCCTTCCCATCCCATCCTCCCCCTGCCTCCCCCCCCCACTCAACCCTCCTCTTCCCCCCACTAAAGTTGTAAAGTTCGTTTCCGACATACGACTTACATGTCTCATTGTTGCAATGTAGCCCCTTTTCTTTCTTTCCTTCCTTCCTTTCTCTTTCTCTCTTTCTTCTTTCCTTTCTTTCTTCCTTCCTTTCTCTCTCTCTCTCTCTCTTTCTTTCTTTCTCTCTCTCTCTCTCTTTCTTTCTTTCTCTCTCTCTCTCTTTCTTTCTTTCTTTCTTTTCCCCCTGTAGGATTTCTGAGTTTTAGTGGTTATTGGGATAGTAAAATTACACTGATCGGGTCATGTGGAAACTCAGATGTATGGGTCATGTCTTTTAGAATTTAGGTTCATTTGGGTAATTAATTCTACAGAAGTGTTGAGCAAATCTGAGGTTCTTCCTTTTCAGAACAATGTTTCGAGGAAGTCAGGGAACAAGTACTCAGGTGAACCATTCAGATCTTTCAATATGCAAATCATCAGCAGCAGAACTAGTTCAGTTAGAACGAAGTTTTGAGGTACATACAGGGAAGTAGATAATTTTAAATAGGATTGATTCTAAAACAACAAATTAAGACTAAATTAATACTAAGTTGTGAACATTCTGCAGCAAGGAAACTTGGGGGAACACTAAAAATAAGACAAATTGTAGGTAAAGGGGTTTAAATATGGATTCATCATGGAAGGACAGGGCTAAGGACTTTTAGGTGGTTTTACATGTACATTTGATTTAATTCACAGTTGTTTTGGAACCGAAGCATGCTGGTTCTGTGCCTAGACCATAAGACCTGATTATGATGATTCTTCATGATCTTTTGGGTGCAATATTTGACCAAAAATAATTTAACATCAGCAAATGAATCGTCTGTTTACCAATGTGAATTCAGCACTAACCAGACTTGTGGTCTGATGGACTTTACTAAGTAAATACTAAATGCATAAAAAAAGTTTTACGGCCAATCTGCTCAAGAAGTATTCTAGTTTTGTTTTCCTTCTGTCTGCAAAAAAGGGGGTGAATGTATGTGTCCTTGTGAATTAGAGATATTAAAATGAGAATGGCTGATAGTAAATTGGGGGCCATGGTTGGTATGCTGAGTTGCTGTGGTGCCTAGAATTCACCGTGGGGGTGGTCCCATCACCCCCATGTTGTCTTCCCTGGCCCAGTAGCCTTTTACTCCTATGGTAATTGGGGTTGGTTTATGTTGAAACCCTATATGCACAGTGATCGAGCCCCCGGCTCCCAACTGGTCTGATCATTTCATGGACTTTGGCTGCTGCAGCAGTCTATAAAAAGAACCCCGAAGTGTTTTGCATTTGCCCCCAGTGCCTGTTCCCCAAAGACACATAAGGATGGTTTTCTTTCTGTAACTCAAGGTTCTATATCATCCTGAGCTGACCTTTCCCTAGATGCCTGGGGTGGTGGGTGTGTAATAGTAATTTCCTTCGTTTGGCTCATGACAGTAAAGCTCAGCTCGCCCTGTGGTACCAGTGATGTGGCATGATGTGATGATGATGTCTGGCGCCCCGGCAGCCTCCTCACACGCTTTGTTCCTCCTCACAGGTGAGAAGCCCTACAAGTGCACCTGGGAAGGCTGTGATTGGAGGTTCGCCCGCTCGGACGAGCTGACCCGCCACTACCGCAAGCACACGGGTGCCAAGCCCTTCCAGTGCGCCGTGTGCAACCGCAGCTTCTCGCGCTCCGACCACCTGGCGCTGCACATGAAGCGCCACCAGAACTGAGAACTGAGCGCCCGGAGGCGGAGGCGCGGGCCCCGCCGGCCCCGGCTCAACTCCACACTAACTATTCCTATAAAAGAGAGAACGAAATACTGGAAAATGTATATTTTGTATATTTGAGAAAACAGGGAATACATTGTATCAATACCAAAGTGTTTGGCTGTTTTCAGAGTCTGGAATGCTGGCTGTGAACGCAGGTTTCATCTCACACAGGCAGCCACGCGCGAGCGTGGGCCGGGGTGGAGGGAGGGGCACGCGCGTGTGTTCGAGGCTGGGCACCCTCGTTCTTCGCGACAGTGTTTAGTAAATCAAGTTTCAGTCACCGGAAGGATGGAGCGGGATGTCAAGATTTTTACTTGACGTGGAATAATTTCTTCCTCAATATTGGATAATTCCTTAGAGGTGAGGTACGCACTGTACCTGGCAATTCACAAATAGCCATTGAACAAATACTTTTCTTTTTATATGAGTTGCCTATATTTGCTATTGAAAATTTTGTAAATAAGCAAATCAGCTTTATAGGTTTATTACAAGTTTTTTAAGGTTCTTTTTGGGGGCGGGGAGGGAGTCACACTTCTTTCAAAAATAACCATGAATACATTTACAAATAGCATTTGGGGGTCGGAGAACCTCTCCAAATATTACCAAATTCAGTTCTTTGGGGAAAGGAATAATCATTCAAATGAGTTTTAGAAAGGAAATCTCATGCACTGATTAAAGCAGGATTATTTTAAATATGGAAGATGTTTTATATGAATTATAAATTCAAGCTTCAAAATCGTTACAGTATACAAAAGTTAAACCTCACAATAAGCTAAATACAGTATCGGTTTTTGTTTTTGTTTTTTTCCAGAAGGACATGTGCTTTTCACATAGAAACATTGAATTTATGACGCAGTTTTCGTATCCTGAGATGCTTGTGCAGTACTGTTGGTTAAATGACAATTTATGTGGAATTTGCATGTAATATACAGTGAGACACAGTAATTTTATCTGAATTACAGTGCAGTGCAATTAGCTGTTAATACTGACTCAGTGTCTGCCTTTAATATCAATGATAGGTTGAAAGCTTAAGAAAGCAAGCGCTATTCCATATATGCAATAGAAAATAGTAATGTGATGTCCACGCTGTTAACCAAAGGGCAGAATAATAAGCAAAATGCCAAAAGGGGTCTTAATTGAAATGAAAATTTAATTTTGTTTTTAAAATATTGTTTATCATTATTTATTTTGTGGTAATATAGTAAGTTTTTTTAGAAAACAATTTTCATAACTTGGTAAATTATAGTTTTGTTTGTTAGAAACGTTGCTCTTAAAACGTGTAAATAGACAACATGGTGTAAATAATTTTGTAAGAGGCTTCAAAATGTTTATACGTGGAAACGTACCTACATCAAAAGCATAAAATCGGTTGCTGTTTTGCTTCTTTTTTTCCCTCTTATTTTTGTATTGTGGTCATTTCCTATGCAAATAATGGAGCAAACAGCTGTATAGTTGTAGAATTTTTTGAGAGAATGAGATGTTTATATATTAACGACAATTTTTTTTGGAAAATAAAAAGTGCCTAAAAGATTTATGTTGTCCCTTTCTTTACCTACCATAGTGAAGAAACTTGGGTCTGATGAAGGTAGCTGATAATGAACACCAACTCCGATGCGTTCATAGGAAGAGCATGTTGAACTATGGTGGGGTGTGCCTGTGATCCCAGCATGTAACATAAGAGGATGGGCTAAAAGCAGCTTCAGCTCTAAGACCTGTGTCAAAACAACAACAATATATTAAGATAGAAGGCAGAAGAAGGAGGCTTTTTTTTTTTTTTTTACTTAGTTTTAGGCTTTTTTTTTTTTTTTGGGGGTCTGGTTGTGGGGCTTGAACTCTGGGCCTGGGCACTGTCCCTCAGCTCTTCAGCTCAAGGCTAGTGCTCTACCACTTGAGCCACAGCGCCACTTCCGGCTTTTTTCATTTTGCTTATGTGGTGCTGAGGAATCGAACCCAGGGCCTCAGGCATGCAAGGCAAGCGCTCTACCACTGAGCCATCTTCCCAGCCCCGCCTTGCTCTCTTTTGCCCAAGATGTACTGAACCTCTTGAGCCGTGCCACTTGTTCTGGCCTTTTGCGGGTTGCAGAGGAGAGTCTCAAAGACTTGCCAGGGCTGGTTTTGAATTGAGATCTTCAGTTCTCAACATCCTGAGTAGCTAGGATTATAGCATGAGTCAGGTATAGTTTTTTATATTGTTTTGTTTTTGCCAGTCCTGGGGCTTGTGAACTCAGGGCCTGGACACTGTCCTTGAACTTATTTTTGCTCAAGGCTCGTATTCTACCACTCGAGCCACAGCACCACTTGTGGATTTTTCTTTTTTTTTTTTTTGAGTCTGGTTGTAGGGCCTGAACTCTGGGCCTGGGCGCTGTCCCTCAGCTCTTCAGCTCAAGGCTAGCGCTCTACCATTTGAGCCACAGTGCCACAAAGTGCCGGAAGGCTTTTTTCTTTTTTGCTTATGTGGTGCTGAGGAATCGAACCCAGGACCTCAGGCATGCAAGGCAAGCGCTCTACCACTGAGCCACCTTCCCAGCCCCACTTCTGGCTTTTTCTGTTTATGTGGTAACAGGAATCAAACCCAGGGCTTCATGCATGCTAGGCAGGCAGTCTACCACTAAGCCACATTCCCAGCCCGAGGCATAGTTGTTTGTTTTGCCAGTCCAAGTGCTCAAACTTGGGGCCTGGACGCGTCCCTGGACCCCAGTGCTCAAGGCTAGCACTCTGCCACTTGAGGCACAGGGCCACTTCTGGCTTTTTGGAGTATTTTTTCGGAATCTCACAGGGACTTTTCTGCCCAGGTTGGCTTTGAACTGCGATCTTCAAATCCCTGCCTTCTGAGTAGCTAAGATTGCAGACGGGAGCCACCTGTGCCCAATACAAGCACAGTTTTTTGAGTACTTAACACCTCTGTAACTTCCTTAATACTTCAACACTACAGTGTAAACTTGAAGGTGCTAGTTGCGACATTTTATCTGGAAAAAAGAATAGGACATATTTAAAATATAATTTTATTACTAAGGCGTTGTACAGAGCTGTTAAACCATTTCACTAGTTAGGTAATAAGTATATTAATTTTTTTTGTCACCTTTTCCCCCAGTTTTCCCCTTACATCCAAGAATTGGAGTTTGAAAAGTTGTATCTAGGGGCTGGGAAGGTGGCTCAGTGGTAGAGTACTTGCTTTGCATGCATGAGGCCAAAAAACATCTATTTCAGTACTGGGAATCAAACCTAGAGCCTTGTGTATGGTTAGCAGGCATTCTACCAGTGATAAAAGTTGAATTTGTATAGCAACAATGCCTCTGTCTTCATTCATTTCCAATACCGTTCATCAATGGAAGAAAAGGGAATCCTTAGAGGAAGGGTGATTCCAAGCCTGGGGTGAGAAGTAGGCAAGCTATACCTTCAGTGCTTGAGGGTAAGCGATTGAAAATAATAACCGACAATGCTGGGGCTATCTCAAAGCAATAACATTTTTCAAAACAAAATACCACACAGTTTCAAAGAAGGGAAATAAAGAGAACTACAGATAAGGGCCTATTGAAAGTAACAAAATACACATCTATCATTATTGATATAAGTAAGTAAGGCAGAAGAGAAGTCTTTTTTTCCCAGTTTTGTGCCAGGACTGAACCTCAGTGCTTTGTGTTCTCATTTGGCCTTTTTGCTCAAGGCTGATGCTCTACCATTTGAACCACACCTCCACTTAATTGCCTTTTGCTAGTTCAGTGGAAGCAATAGTTTTTTTTAAACAAATTTCTCTGCCCAGATGGCTTCAGCCTGAGATCCTCAGATCTCAGCTTCCTGAGTAGCTAGGATTGTAGGAGTGAGCCACTAGAAAACATCCCAATTAAAATAATTTTTTGGGTTTTTTGGGGAGCGGGGGGTGGTGTTTGAAATCTGTTCCTGGGCGTTGTCCCTCAGCTCTTCAGCTCAAGGTTAACGCTCTACCACTTGAGCCACAGTGCCACTTCTGGCTTTCTAAGCAGTTTATTGGAGATAAGAGTCTCACAGACTTTCCTGCCCAGGTTGGCTTTGAACTGCAGTCCTGAGATCTCAGCATCCTGAGCAGCTATAACCCATCTTCCAAAGAATTGCATCTAGTTCTCTGTTCCTTAAGTGTGGTTTGCACACTGACTTGCTCAGCAAGAGTCCTGGATGAAAAGGTGGGGCGTGAGGGGAAAGCCATTACAGTGGAGAACTCTGTCAACACTACCTCAGCCAGATGATCAAGGGTCACATCAACAGTGATAAGTTGTGCTGATAATGTGTACCCTTGATATGATGTGATGAGAATGGAACTTGGCCCTTGTGGTCTTCCTCCTTAGAACGCAACCTCAGTAAGCATGAAAAACACATGAGGGAGATTGCAACTGGGTATTGCACAAAATAACCTGACTACTACTCAAAACTGTGGCATGGAAACACATCTGAAGCTGTTAAAAGTCAAGGGAAGCTGAAGAGGAGACATGACTAAATGCAATATAGTAATAATGGAAAATAGGCAGCGTGCATTCATTGTGACAAATGTATCACACTAACACACACTGTTGGCTGGATGGGGTGATCCCAGCAATTGGGAGCCTGAGATAGGAGGATCTAGTTTGAGGCCAGAAGGAAGGAAGGAAAAGAGGAATGGGGTGTGGTTACAGGAATTTTATTACCTTTGCTATAGTTGTAGAAATTTAGAAGTACCTTATTTAAAATTTAAGAAGTAGAGGCTGGGAATGTGGCTTAGTGGTAAAGTGCTTGCCCAGCGTGCATGAAGCTGTGAGTTCAATTCCTCAGTACCACATAAGCAGAAAAAGCCGGAAGTGGTGCTCTGGCTCAAGTGGTAGAATGCTAGCCTTGAGCACAGAGAGGCTCAGGGACAGTGCCCAGGCCCTGAGTTTAAGTCCCAGGACCAACAAAAAGAAAAAAAAAAAAAAAAGAGGCCAGAATGCTGATGACTCATGTCTGTCATCTGAGTTACTCTGAGGATATTGCTTCAAAGCCAACCTGGGCAAGAAAGTCTGTGAGACTCTCATCTCCAATTAAGCACCAAAAACAGCCATATGTGGAGTTGTGACTCAAATGGTAGAGCATTAGCTTTAAACAAAAAAGTTCAGGGACAGCACCTAGGTCATGAGTTCAAGCCTAGGACCAGCATCAAAAAGAAAAAGAAGCTAGGTGCCAATGGCTCACGCATGTAATCCTAGCTATTCAGGAGGCTGAGATTTGAGGATTGAGGTTCAAAGTCAGCCTGGGCAGGAAAGTCCATGAGATTCTTATCTCCAATAAACCACCAGAAAACCGAAAGTTGCTCTGTGGCTCAAGTGGTAGAGCACTCACCTTGAGCTGAAGAACTCAGCTCCCAGGCCCAGAGTTCAAGCCTCCTGACCACCACCACCACCACCACCAACAACAAAAACAAAAAGAAAAAATCACTATTGCTAGTCATCATCCAACAAATGGCGTGGGACAGGGATCCTGATGTTCACAGGGCTAGTGGGGAAATGGCAGTTACGTGATTTGGCCTTGTATGCTTGCTTAGCTTCCATCATTATTTGACTCCCCACTCTTTCAATTCGTGTCTAACGGAAGAATAATGCAGTTTGTTCCTTATCGCATTCTCATCCATAGAGAAAAACATCTTTCTAGAGATTAAATGAAAAACTACAACAGGTTTCTTGAAACAATTGCAGTTGTCTATCCAGACGTCCAGTTGGGGAATTGCCACTACTCAGTGTTGATCTATGAACTAGGTTTCCTTGCTTTGATTCCCACACTTAATTGTGCTCAGTTTCCTAACACTTCAATACCATTTTATTCCAGGATGCAAAACAGAGCTGATACTAGTTTTCTTTGCTGTCTCTTTGACTATTCCTGTCTACCTTTTTTTGTTTGTTTGTTTGTTGTAGGGCTTGAACTCTGGGCCTGGGCTCTATCCTTGAGCTGTTTTTGCTTGAGGCTAGTGCTCTACCATTTTGTACTACAGCTTTATTTCTTGTTTTTGAGTGATTGATTGGCGTTAAAGAGCCTTACTGGGCCTTTTTCCCCAGGCTTTGCACTATGATCCTCAGTTCCTGGCCTCCTGAGTAGTTAGGATTACAGGCATGAGCCACCAATGCCCAGCCTGTGTTGTAAGCTGTCCTTTCTTCTCCCTTACCAGCTACCTGGTCCAACCTTGTCTGTTGGGAGCTTAATGCAGACCTTCCGTCTTTATTAGCCCCAGTCATTGGATCTTCTTTTGCATATGGAGACATGTGACATGAACATTAGAATTATTTTTCCAATTTTTTTTTTTTTGTCAGTCTTGGGCCCAAACTCGGTCTGGACGCTGTCTCTCGGCTCTTCAACTCAAGGCTAGCACGCTACCACTTGAGCCACAGTGCCACATCTAGCTTTTTCTGCTTATGTGGTACTGAGGAATTGAACCCAGGGCCTGATGCATGCAAGGCAAACACTCTACCACTGAGCCACCTTCCCAGACCCACAATTTTTTTTTATTGGAAACTATATATTTTTTTTCTCCAATTGTCAATTCCTAGGAAGAAACC